CCCATTTGCAATACCTTGGGTTGTCTACTTTTGCAAATGGTATGCAATTATGGAGATAATTCTCATTCCTGGGCTACCATACGACCTCAAAGGCAACGTAACCAATCTGGCGAATTTCAATGTGAAAAAAACTGAAACGCAAGCCTTATATTTGACTCTGTAACTTTTGAAAACACCATAAAACCTGTACATGAGGGGTACTGTTATACTCAGGAGACTTCGCTGAACACAAATATTAGTGTTTCAAAGTAGTAAAACGTATCATAACAATTTTATAACATGACAGGAGGCTTCGTATTTGCTTAAGTCTCTCTTTACTAGAACTCCACAGCAGCACAGAAAAACAACCAATCAGAAAAAAGTTAGTTACTATAAAACCTCCTTCCCATGCATCATTTCCTCTTTCTTTGCTGCTCTGCAGTCAGTACAGGTCAGATTACCACTGCTTCCTGCTTATAGTGGGTGGCTTTGGGATTTTATTGCTTATATTAAGTATTTTAGCCTTATAAATGCAGTATTGTTATAATCCTTGTATGATTTTATTCCTGTATGCTGTATTGTTATAATCCATGTGGGATTTTATTTTTATAATGCAGTATTGTTATAGTCCATGTGGGATTTTATTTTTATAATGCAGTACTGTTAGAATCCTTGTGGGATTTTATTCTTATAATGCAGTTTTGTTATAATCCTTGAGGATTTTATTTTTATAATACAATATTGTTATGTTCCTTGTGGGATTTATTTCTTCATATTCAGTATTTTATTTTCCCGTGTGGGATTTTTATGCTTATATATTGAATATCCTCTCAGAATTTTTTTATTTAGGCCTTGTGGGATTCATTTTATATGCAGTATTACCTTGGGCATGTGTAAATATTCCTTACACATGCAGTTTTGTTAAAACTCCTGTGGGACTTTATTTTTACTTGAAACTTCAGGCTATCACTGTTATATACATATTTAGTTTGGATTTCTGGGGGGTCTTTGGGATCCTCCTGTCCCCTCTATCCCCTTGGCCTTGTCCCCCCTGTCGGTCTCCCAACTTTGTGTATGTGCGTTGATATATTTTTTTGTTCCGCCTTTGTTCTTATGTCTGGCGGTGTCTGTGTGCGCCGCTCGGGGGCTTCAGGAGGCTGACTGCATCTGCCTCCTTCGATCCCCGAGCTCCGGGACCGCAGAGTTCATCTTCGGTGGTCCTGTGTGTGTTTTTTCCGGTCGCAGGGGAGCTCAAGATGAGCACCCGGCGGCCGGATCTCCTTTCCCACGTGGTCGCTTTGCCACGGCCGCCTCCGCCCGTGGACCGCATGTGTGGCCGCCTCCCCCCGTCTGTTCCTAACTGGTTGGTTGACTCCCCTCTGTCAATCAAGGCCGAATTCCGATCACGGACAAAGTTTTTTATATCAGATGAGGGCCCTTCACCCTGCTCAGGGTTAATCTATAACCCAAGATGACTCAACATTTATATAATTTTATATAAATATTTTGCTGGGCTGGAGAATAGGCTTTAGGCAGTACTCCCTGTACTGCACTGAGATGCCTGCAGTTTGGTTTTCTGCCTTTGGCCAAACATTAAGTCTGCCAGTTCCCTGTATAGTGGTATAGCACTTCATCACTAGTAGCTGTAACATCTGTGATATTAGACTGGAGACATTATAGCAACTTAATCCAGAGGTATTATGTAAAAATACTGTTATAATCACATTACTATCCTGCTAGTGGGTTTTACATATTGAAATTATTTAACCCAAGGTTTCCCTGTTTCATTATGCACATATATATATAGTGGACTCTACACACGCAGATGGGCCCTACGGCTGTCGGAACACTATCACGGGCCTGCTCTGTCTGTGCCCCTTTGATTGGCCTGCTATGTCTGTGCCCCATTGATTGGCCTGCTATGTCTGTGCCCCTTTGATTGGCCTGCTATGTCTGTGCCCCATTGACTGGCCTGCTATGTCTGTGCCCCATTGATTGGCCTGCTATGTCTGTGCCTATTTGAATGGCCAACTATTCTGTGCCCATTCGTTTGGCCTGCTGGGCCTGTGCCCTTCTGACGGGCCTGCTCTATCGGTGCCGAACCCCCTTTTGGCCGCAGGCCTGGGGGAATATCACTGAGGAAAATCCAGTACCCACTAGTGACATGGAGATAGGCAGGTGTCCAGGTAAGCACCGTTGCCATACTATCCAAGAGGACGCCAGTATACGGCCACCTGAGTATGGTGGGAAGGGTGAAGGCCCTAAACCTCATGCCTGAAGGGCAAGGTTTCTTATGAAGACCCGGGGCACACATCCACGGTTTACACCAGCCCGGCAACGGCACATCTCCAAGGAGAACTTCGCACAGACAGGGACCGGTACTCAGACGCCTACAGGGGGACACAGTGTTTCCTTGTCTTTAACAACTAACCCTCTAACTGCCTCCCGATATCCATCTAGATATCGGTAGTTATTCCTGCGTAAGGTTAGCTCCTGGCCCTGTTCAGTGGGGCTTACTTGACTTTGCCTTCTATCCGAGTTAGAATTTATGTATTAACCCTTATCTACATTTCTTATTGTTTTTGTTTTCATGCCTTCCTTTTCCTATCGCTCAGGTCATCGAGAGGCCTGACTTGACCTCCTCCGACCTCCCGGGCGCTCGTGGATTGCGGAGAACGTCTCCAGCTTTCCTCAGGCTCTCAGGCTACCGACGGTCATCCTGGACCCCGCACGCGCGCGTGGTTGCATTTTTGCACCATCCCTTTCTGTTATTAACAATGGACACGGCCTGAGGTTGTATACTATCCCATCTGCCATCGGTCTGGTTTACTACCAGTTGATTCCTTTTCAGGTGAGCGATTCAGAGAGAGGTCTCGTGGTCGGGGATACACCCACCTAAGGACCTCAGTCTTATGCTGATATTAGTAATTGGTGTACCCCTGCAGTTGGTCACCCTGAGTCTAGTTTGGATCACAAGAGGGTGCGGCCCTCCATCACCTCGATCCGAGAATGATATTTTATTTTCAGGAACAGAGAGCGAACCCCTCTCATGTACAGAACGGGACACTGATTTATTATTAGAGGGCGCAGCCCTCCCTCAACCTCAGCCCGATACTGAGCGGGATACAGAGGACATGTTTGGAGTGACACATTCTCATAGAGAGAACCGGTCACGAATGTAGACTCTGCTGTTTGGTTATTAACGGGTGCGGCCCGCTTAGGCTATCAGCCGACGCTGACACAGAATTTGGTCACATTATTAGAGAGTGCGGCTCTCTCATACACTCAACGCTCTACGGTGCCGTCCATTTGTTCATCACACAGGCTTGTACCTGTACAAGACCTCGATGACTGCATAGAGGGGCGTCCCTCCTGCATTCAATTAGATCTAATGACCGTGCTACTGATTTCGTTATAGAGGGCTGCCTGATCATGCAGGATATACATATTTAGACTGGATCCCTCTATTTTATCTCCTGTAATGGATCTACTGGATCCGGACCACTTTACCACATGCGAGAAATACTTACAGAGGTATAACGGGGGGAGACTCCCACTTATTTACACACACTCCTGGAGACGGTACGGCTAATGGGTGAGCCTCAGGCATTACAAGAGTGCAGGTTTTGGTATATTCTGTGCTATATAAAACAGAGAATTGCATTCTGTTTTGGATATCCGGACCATTGCGAACAAACTGCGCAGACAGTTTTCCCAAATCAAGATGACATGAGATACGGAGACCTTCAGGGAGCAAACTGGCACTGCCTTGCTCGGGTAACAAGACTAGGGAAGGCCTACTACCCGGTCTGAAAGTACACCATACGCATGGATCGCATGGTAAGACCGGAAACCCCGGTTGTCTTGTGTTCCCTGGTCATTACAATCTTGGGTTAAGATGGCAGGACTGCCCCTACTCCTCTGAGCACATACCTGGAGAACATGGTACAGAGATGGAGGGCCCTCCGTCTATACTCTATATATCCCTCATGGGAGCCGTTTTGGTTTGGGTTCACGCTAACCCACCTTTTCAACTACCATCAAGGAGACCTGCGAGACTCTATGGAAGAACCTGGTGTGCCCCGACTCCTACACAGACGTCAAAGTTGGGTCACAACCTACCACTGGAGTACGGCTCAGGATGTGTAGCAGACTCAGATAGGGCTGCCGACATTCTCAAACGGGACAACACATGTTTCGGACGGCTGAAGCTAGACCCTTCTTTTTTCGCTATATCTGCTCTCTGGAGTCACCTGTCATGAGCGAAGGGACTTTACGCCTTGTCTGCATATTGGAGAACGCTATGTGTTCGCGGGACTCCAAGCTAAGAAGGGAGGTATCCCTCTATAGGGAGATTTTGACTTAAATGATCAAAATCACATTCCTGGGTCCCTTGACCTAGGGCCTACTCTGGGAGATACGTGCCCGGGCAGTCAGGGGTACAGGGACCTAAGGGTCTCACTATATTATACCCTATCTTGTAGGTGGCGTGTATACCAGGAACCCCTACACAAATTTTGACAGGTCGGACATGGAACAGGATCGTACGACGGGTAGTCAGACTATTTCACTGTCTCTCTACAGCACGTGAGGACTCTTCATTGTTATACAGGTCCCAATTGCCATTGGATCCGTACATCTTATCACTCTTAGACGTTGACATCTGGATGGGAATCTCAACTCCGTTTTACATTTCCCATCCCTTTGACTATTTCCGGGACCCGCTATTTCCAGAATAGTCGACCACCGTTCCACCACATAAGTTCAGTTTGGGACCCTGATTGGACGTCCTTTTTGGAGTCCTTTCTCTACCGCAGCCGTGGATAACACAGTCCAGTTGGAATATTGGAATCACTTGGGATAGAGCTAGTTTGCCACACTCTTGCCTGCATAATAAATGTATTCTCAGATGAGACATCTCACTGGGTAGGCCATCAGGGAACGAAAGATCCTACTCGGTTCTGTTGCAGAATTGGTGGATTTAGGTGCATTCCTTGAGATTGAAGATCTGCCTGCAAGACCACATCGCCAGGTGACAAGGGCATGATCGGTGGAGCCACCTTACACATCAAGAGATGAGACATGGTGGCAGTGTCTTATCGCGGCCCTAAGTCCGCAAATGACCTTCAACATTTTATAACTACAGGGAAATGGCTAATAGGTCAGCTTGGCAGCTCATGGACTGGCTGTTAGGAAACAGGTCGCAACCCCACGTACAATGGATCTATCAGCTGTGGTTTTTTCCGTATTTGGGATGCTTCGTCAACTGGCATCTTCACAGATCTGTCTATTGTCATTTATCGCAGTTGGAAAGTCCATTTAGGATTGCTCGCATAGCTCCCGGAATAGGTACCAGCGAAACAAAAATCATTGGATTTGTTGACTGAGCGTTAAAACAGCAAATACGAAGCCTCCTGTCATGTTATAAAATTGTAGATTATGCTATCTTTAGTGTACCTATAATCTTAATTTTATTAATGACAGGAGGCGAGTATTTCCCACCCATTCTTATCCCTCCCTTGTTTAATTTTAATAGTTTGGCTTAATCAGGTACGAATGCAACTCTGCTTGTTGTCTCTGCTACCTGTCGCCTGTTCTTATGTCTGTTTTTTCATAAGTAGGGTTGGGATATCTACATATTAAGGTACTTTTGATTGCTATATTGGGTACCTACATGTTTATTCAGAGTACATTTCATTGGATAATCAACCTGTTCGATTCTGTTTTTCTCTCGTTTCAGTTTACAGTCCATCAACGCTATCTGGTTTGGCAGTTCTTCTCGGATGGTGGACATCGTTGTATTCATCGTATCTAGGACTTTGTTTCTTCCCCATTATGTTTTCTGCCTTTTATTCTGTTTTTGTCGCAGCTTGAAAGAGGAAATGATGCATGGGGAGGGGAGTTTTATAGTAACTAACTTTTTTCTGATTGGTTGTTTTTCTGTGCTGCTGTGGAGTTCTAGTAAAGATAGACTTAAGCAAATACTCGCCTCCTGTCATTAATAAAATTAAGATTATAGGTACACTAAAGCTGGCATAATCTACAATTATATCGTCTGTGTAAGTGCCATTTGTGTGTGAAAAATGCAAAAAATGTCACTTTCATTGGCAATATCACCGTTGTAATACGTTTTACTGTTTTGAAACACTAATATTTGTGTTCGGTGAAATCTTCAGAGTAAAACAGTACCCCCCACGTACAGGTTTTATGGTGTCTTGGAAAGTTACAGGGTTAAATATAATGCTAGCCAATTAAATTCCCTGGACTTTCGGCCTGGGTTGTCAGGCAGGTCCTACAAATTGTAATTAATAAAATGACCTAATTATGTAAAATTATTACATAAATATATACATAGAATTATATAATATATATACGTGTGTATATATATGTGTGTATATATATATATATATATTATTTTTTTAAATTGTTTTATGTATAGGTATATATATATAGATATATATATATATATAGTGATATGTACGTATATACTTATGTATATAGTTATATTATTTTGTTCTACGTGTATTTTGATATCAGTATATATATTAATTTTAAAATACAGTTAGAATGAAATTACACACATATGTATATATTTATTTTTTATTTATTTATTTTTTGAATTTTATTTTTTAATGTACTTACATATATATTTATTTTATATTATACATAAATATATAATTATAATTATATATATATTTAATCAATATCATTCTACGTGTACTTTGATATTAATATACCCACACACATATATATATACTTAGATCATATATATAATAAATATATATATACTCTGCTCAAAAAAATAAAGGGAACACTTAAACAACACAATGTAACTCCAAGTCAATCACATTTCTGTGAAATCAAACTGTCCACTTAGGAAGAAACACTGAGTGACAATCAATTTCACATGCTGTTGTGCAAATGGGACAACAGGTGGAAATTATAGGCAATTAGCATAGGCGTGCGCAGCCTATTGCATTTGGGTGTGCACCCTAAAGCACAAACACACGCCACGTGTGTATATATATATATATATATATATATATATATATATATATATTTATACACATACATAGACTGCTGTGTGTGTGTGTGTTAGGGTGCTGGTAGTGTGCTATGTGGGTGAGGGTGTTTGTGTGTGTGTTTGTGAGGGTGCTGCTAGTGTGCTGTGTGTGAGAGTGCTGTTAGTGTGCTGTGTGTGAGGGTGCTGTTTGTGTGCTGTGTGTGAAGGAAATGGTAGTGTGCTGTGTGTGTGTGAGGATGTTTGTGTGTGCGTGTTTGTTCGGGTCCTGTTAGTGTGCAGTTTGTGTGCTGTGTGTGGGTGTTGTGTGTTTGTCAGGGTTCTGTTTGTGTGTGAGTGTGCTGTTTGTGTGTGGGTGCTGTGCGGGTGTTGTGTGTGGGTGCTGTGTTTGTGAGGATGCTGCTAGTGTGCTGTGTGTGCTGTTTGTGGGCTGTGTGTGCTGTATGTGTGTAGGTGCTGTTTGTGTGTGTGTGCTGTATGTTTGGGTGGAGGTGGGGGCAGATTAGTTAATATCCCCGTTCTGCTGCCTTCCTTGGTGGTTCAGTGGAGAGTGAACTCTAGCCCGGGTTCTCTGCTGCCTCCCTCCATGCAGCTGTGGACTGGTGAGGTAGATATTTGATCTCCCCACCGGCCCGTGGAGGCTTAGACCAGAGCCGCCGCTCGGATAGCGCCGCATGGAACGGATTTGTCGCACAAATGTTGAAACAGATTGAGATCTGAAGAATTTAGAGGCCAAAGCAACACCTTAAACTTTTTGTCATTCCTGAAGAATACTTGCAGTGTGAATTATCCTGCTGAAAGAGGCCACTGACATCAGTGAACATAATTTACATGAAGGGCTGTACATGTTCTGCAACAGTCTCTAGGTAGGAGATAAGTGTCAACGTAATATCCACATGAATGCCAGGACCCAAGGTTTCCCAGCAGAACATTGCACACACCATAACACTGTCTCCGCCAACCTGGCTTTTTTACATAGTGCATAGTACTGCCATCTCTTCCTCAAGTAAATGATGCACACGCACCCTTCCATCACCAGTGCCACCCACCTGATCTAATAGAAAACATGATTCATCAGACAGGCAACCTTCTTCCATTGCTCCCTTGACTAGTTGTGATGCTCGTGTCCCCATTGAAGGCACTTTCAGTGGTGGACAGGGGTCCTTATGGGCACTGAGACTAGTCTACGGCTATGCTACCACATATGCAGCAAAACGCAATGCACGGTGTGTTCTGATACCTTTCTATCATGGGCAGTTTTAAGTTCTTCAGTGATTTAAGGTGAATTTGTGTGATCAGACGAGACAGGCAAACTTTTGCTCCCCAAGTGCATTAATGAGCCTTAGGCACCCATGACCTTTACTCCCATTCACTGGTTGACCTTTCTTGCCCTACGTAACCATGGCAGCCATCACTATTTGGCCCTTGTCAGATTTTTTTCACGTGTCCATTTTTCCTGCTTCCAACATAGGGAATTCAAGAACTGACTATTCATTTGTTACCTAATTTATTCCATCGTTTGAGGGGTGCTATTGCAACAATATAATAAATATAATACACTTTACCTATCAGTGTATTTATGTTGTGGCTTATCAATGTATTTCTGCCTAGTCTTTAAGTATTCAGAGAGGAAAGTTAGTCATAAATCTATAATCCTCCCTTTAAAGAAACATTCCCGTGTTATAAACAAAAACATTTATTTAAAAAGCTGGAGTGTTTCAAGCAATACTCTGCATATTTTAGTCCACAATAATGACCTCAAGTTTTGCACCATAGAGAAAATCACTTCCTCCATGGTGTGGTGGAAATGTTATTAAACTGTTAGGCGAAAAAGAGATGAGCTGGGTTTTTGAATTAAATACACTTTTACCTTATGGACTAAATGTGGACTTTGACCTTTTTAATTTCCTCTAATATTATTTTATTATTTTTATATATGATTTTATTTCATCCTATTGTTATGCAATTTCCTCTGTTGTATTTTATATCTTAGTGTTGTTTATTAATATGCACATTATCCTATTTTATACATTTTACCCAATATTATATTTGTTATTTTATCAGTTATTTTTATGCCAGGGCTAGAATCTATTTTTTATATATGTTCCTCTTTATTAATTTATATTAAAGCGGCACTGTCATGCCGAACTTACCTTTCCTCAATCTCTTCCTCTTCTCCCCCCCTCTCAGGATCTGTTATTCTTTTCTTCCTGTCTTCATTAGTTTTCTTTAAAATCATAAGACAAAGTAGGGACTCTTTGCCTTATGGAGGATTCCTCCGCTTGACCAGCTCTGACCAGCGGAGGAGCAAAGTGTGCTTCATTTCCGCTAGTCAGAGCAATTTTCCCATGATCCTTAGCTTTCCTCTGTGTTCCCACAATGCTTCCTGTCACTTTCCACAAAACTGCCGAATTGCGTTCTAACTGAATGAGAACAGTCTGTTCGTTTCTTTTAGAACGCAATTCGGCATTTTATTCGGATCAGAATTTCATTCGAATGAATGAAACTCCAATCCTATTCATTGCTGTGGCTGCATTTTGCAGCCGCTTAGTAGATAACTCCCTAATTCCCACGGTATCAGGGAGTTCTCTACTAAAAGGCTGAAAGACCTAAATTGGTCTTTCAGCCAACTTTACTAATACTAAGTAAAAATTACTTAATATTAGTAAGTAATATGCCCCTACTCGCTATACTGCGAGTAGGGGCATGTCTGGTAAACAGTGAGCAGCCTGTGGCTGCTCACTGTAAAAAAAACTATTGGCCCCCACCCCTAAATGACGGGTGGGGGCCCTAAAGGAAAATAAGGGGGGAGACCAAATGACCTACTGCCCCCCCCGGCCCCCACCCCTGGGCGGCGGGTGGGGGCCATAGTGAGAATGAGGGGGGGGACCTACTGTCCCCCCCGGCCCCCACCCCTGGGCGGCGGGTGGGGGCAATAATGAGGGGGGGACCTACTGCCCCCCCCGGCCCCCACCCCTGGGCGGCGGGTGGGGGCCATAATGAGGATGGGGGGGACCTACTGCCCCCCCCGGCCCCCACCCCTGGGCGGCGGGTGGGGGCCATAGTGAGAATGAGGGGGGGGGACCTACTGCCCCCCCCGGGCCCCCACCCCTGGGCGGCGGGTGGGGGCCATAATGAGAATGGGGGGGGACCTACTGTCCCCCCCCGGCCCCCACCCCTGGGCGGCGGGTGGGGGCCATAATGAGAATGGGGGGGGACCTACTGCCCCCCCGCCCCCACCCCTGGGCGGCGGGTGGGGGCCATGAAGATAATGAGGGGGGGGGCTACTGTCCTCCCCCCCCGCTCCCCACCCCTGGGCGGCGGGTGGGGGCCCTAAGTCAATTACCCCCCCCAAGGTGACTAGGGGTCCCCAAGCCCCTAGTCACCCACCCCCCACCCAAAAAAACAAGTCCCTACCTACCCCCCTCACCCTAAAAAATAGTGAGGGGGGGATAAAATAACTAACCTGTAAAATAAAATTAAACTTACCATTCGACGTCTTCTTTTTTCTCAAATCTTCTTTTTTCAGCCCCAAAAAAGGCCAAATAAAAAACCATCATAACCGTCGAATTGAAAATAAAATAAAAATCCCGAGCGCAAAAAAAAAAACCCGAGCGCAAAAAAATAATCCATCTTCACCCATGGAGGGCTCCGCGCAGACTGAGCTCCGCAGAGCGGGGGAAGGCTTATAAAGCCTTGCCCCGCCCTGCAATTAGGCTAAGAACACTCTGATTGGAGGGTTTAAGCCAATCAGAGTGTTCTTTGTCATTTTACACAGCGTGGGAAAATTCAAAAGAACTTTCCCACGCTATGTAAAATTACAAATAGCACTGTGATTGGATGGACAGTAGGTCCCCCCCCTCATTATCTTCATGGCCCCCACCCGCCGCCCAGGGGTGGGGGCCGGGGGGGGGCAGTAGGTCCCCCCCCCTCATTCTCACTATGGCCCCCCCCGCCGCCCAGGGGTGGGTGCCGGGAGGGGGCAGTAGGTCCTCTCATTCTTCTTATATTCTACCCGCCCAGGGTGGGGTGGGGCGTGCAGGTCCCCTGATGCCATATTATGGCCCCCCCACCGGGGTGGGGCCGGGGCAGTAGGTCCCCCCCCCTCATTCTCACTATGGCCCCCACCCGCCGCCCAGGGGTGGGGGCCTGGTAGTAGGTCCCCCCCCATTCTCCTTATGGCCCCCACCCGCCGCCCAGGGGTGGGGGGGGGGGGGGGCGGCAGTAGGTCCCCCCCCCCATTCTCATTATGGCCCCCACCCGCCGCCCAGGGGTGGGGGGAGTACTGCCCCCCCCCTCATTCTCACTGTTTAGGGGTGGGGGCCAATAGTTCTTTTTTTTTTGTTTTGTTTTTTACAGTGAGCAGCCACAGGCTGCTCACTGTTTAGTGGACATGCCCCTACTCGCGGTATAGCGAGTAGGGGCATTTGGGAGATTTTTATCTCCCTTGTGCTATTATGGGGGTCATATTGACCCCCATAGAGTGAGAGGGGGTACTGGGGGGGCTTATGAAGTGGTGGGGAGCACTGCTCCCTGCCGCTTCTATAGTTACATATTACAAGGAGGGAGCTGCATGCCGGTAGCTCCCTCCTTGTAATAAACTGCACGAACAAACAAACACTGATACATTGTGTTTGTTTGTTCGGCTGATCTTTCTATTCACTCATTCGTCTGTCTGATGAATGAATGAATAGATGAAATTCCCGTTCGCATGTCCAGGTGTTTCACTGGGCATGTGCGGGAATCTCAGTGTCTGCCTAGTGTGGGCTGATGACGTGTCCCTGAGGGACTTCATCTACCCACACAAAGATGGCTGCGCCCTGAATATAGATCGGGGCAGAAAATAAGGATTAAAAAATAGGTAATGTGGGGGGCTTAGGGGCATTTAGGGGTGACTAGTGGGTCAATTGGATGAAGTGGAGGCGGGAGAGGGGTTAAAAAAAAAACAGAATTCGGCATGACAGTGCCGCTTTAATTTATATGTTAATATATTTTTTTTAATATACCTTTATTTTCCAGTATTTTTTCTCTATTTAATATACATTCAAATACATAGATTATCAGATTTGTATACATAGAATATAAAATTGACCATTAAATCCACATTTGTACATCTTGTTCATACGGGTCAAAAGAAAGAGAAAACAAACAATTAAATTTTTGTTTTAATATATATTGGCCAGGTGAGGGGTATTTTCGGGGCTACGGCACTCAGTTGCTAGATCCTACAAATCTAACCCAAGGCCCAAATGTCTTCATATTTCTCTTTGGAGACCCTGTCTGAAAGGAGCCCTGCATCCATTCTGTACTGGAAATTCAATTGTGACCTAACCTCTGTCCATTTCAAAGGGTCTATATTTCTCCAGTTCCTAGCCATAACCATTTAAATAGCCATATAGACATGGAACAAAATAATTTTAGTTTAGGCAAGTCGATATGGAACAAGTCGATATGGAACAAGAACATTTGTGCTGTTAATTTAATTTTCCTTTTAAATATAAGATTTATCATCCTTAATAGTCTCTTTTAAAGAATCCAACTATTAACATTCCCACCATATATAAGGAAATTAACCAAGTGCCATGCCACATCGCCAGCAATCTGGGGACACCTTAGGTTGGATTCTGCATAATCGTATAGGAACTAAATACCATTGGTAAACAAGTTTATTGTAATCTTCCAATATGTTTACCCTGTGTATATGCCTTTTTGCTAGAAGCAGTCCTTGCAACCATTCTTCCAACCGATGGGGAAAATTGGAGTTCTTGCTCCCATTTGATCAGTGCCGGTGCCTTTTCTATTTGCCTTTGGTTTTTCAAAAATCTAGTAAGTGTAGAGGCCATTTTATTTCTATAGGTGTATGCCAGAAACGGATCAATCAGGGTTAACTCTGCAAATATTTTACTTGATGTAAAGGATTTTACTCTCAAATAATTAAATAGCTCTCTGGAAGGAAGATTATATTTAAAGTACAGGTGAGGAAATGGTAAAATTACATTCCCCTCTATTATCTCTGAAACGTCCTTAATTCCACTCTTTTGCCATTCTTGAATATTTATATCCTTTATATAATATTTCAGGCATACTATAGGAGCACAGCGGGACATACTAATAGTGGCATATTTTTTATTTAAATACTGTACTACAAAAATGTATGTTCTTAAGCCTTTTATGAACTCACTATCACACCATATACACCATATAAGGTAGAAAGGTTCAATATTTTTAAGATCTGCTTTTTCACGGTTTAACCAGATCGGTCTGGAGGAAGATAAATTATCACAGATGACAAAATGAGCCATCATATTAATTAGATATAACATTTAAACATCCGGAAAGGACACTCCTTCCATCCTCTCTGTAATTTATTTAAAGGTATTCTGGGTCGCTTATCCTGCCAAATATATTCAGAGATCCGTCTCTGGAAACCGCGTATCGTCTGGGAATCTACCATCAGCAGGATGTTCCTAAATAAAAATGACAATTTGGGAAGTAAATAAGAATGAACTGCCTTGATTCTTCCTAGCCAGGACTACTCTAAATCATTCCAGACTTTAGGTTTTTCCTAAATTGAGTAGCTATTTCCAAATAGTTAAATCTGCCAATTTCTATGAGATGCAAGGATAATCTCACCCCTAAATAGTTTATGCTCCATGCCTCCCAGTCAAATTTAAATTCCTCTTTAAGGGTGTTCATCTTAGATCCAGTTATGCCCTTTGTCAAGATTTGTGTCTTTTTAATGTTAACTTTATAGCCAGAGAGTTTACCAAATTCCTTAATCAGGCAAAAAAACGGCAGGGTCCGTGAGGGACAGGAGCACATTGTCTGCATAAAGTGTAATCTTAATCTCAGATATATTCACAGTCATCCCCTGAATCTCTGTAGTCTGTCTAATGGCTGCTGCCAAGGGTTCTATAGAAAGAATATAGAGTAGTGGGGCTAATAGGCAGCCTTGCAATATCCCATTCCGAATTGGAAACCAATCGGGTTGGAACATAAAACCTGAAACCCTAGCTTGAGGTTCTCTATATAGGGCCATAGTGTAATCCCTAAGGGCACCCCCGATGCCAAATGCACTCAGGAGCTCCTCCAAATAACCCGGTCAAAGGACTTCTCGGCATTGAGGGTAACCAAGGCAAAAGGGGACTGGCGTTGACTCACATGATGTATAACATTAAAAATTTTCCTAATATATTCAGACGTGCCGCTGCCCTTAATGAAACCACTCTGGTCAAGATGAACAATATCTGATATACCGGTAATCCCTTTAAGCCAGGGGTTCTCAACCCAGTCCTCAGGACCTGCTACCAGTCCAGGATTTGGGGATTACCTGGGTGTGTCTAATGTGTTTAGAAAAAGGGGAAAAAAAAACCTTAGACTCTAATGTGTTTTTTTTTTCTTTTTCTAAACACCTTAGACACACCCAGGTAATCCCTAAACCCTGGACTGGTAGGGGGTCCTTGAGGACAAGGTTGAGAAC